GCGCGGTGGGCTGGCTGGCGCCGGCAGGCCCCGGCCGCCGCGGAGGGGACTGCGGGATGCCGGCCCCGTTGCGTGGCCTTCGCTGCCGTGGGGGCAGTGACTGCACGTGTGGCCACGTCGCTGGTTTTCCTGTCATCCCGTAACCCCTACCCCCCGGCTGTTTTATACTGGCACCTGGTCCCAGTTTAATACAGCTGCTATTTCCCCGAGGCTCTGAAAACCTCCCCTGAAGCTGCTGAAGGCAGTCATAAGGGATGGCTGTAGAGCAGGTGGGAGCCTGCAGGCTGGTGACCACTGGTGCTTGGGGTGCTCTGTCCTGCAGCCTTGGGGGCTGCCAGCATCCCCCCGTGAGGAGCAGCCACTGGAGAGGAAGGTACCAGGGAAAAGCAGTACAAACATCTGCTGAGCAGCTATCCTGGGGAGATGCACAAACTTCATCTGCCGTATGATTATTGCATGCTAAAGAGCAGGAAGCCCAGGCCCAAGGTGTTATCAAGCTTTTAAATTCACCTGTTCTTGTCTTTGCAGTGTCAGCTTTTACACCTTGCATGTGTGTATACCCACGAAGCAGGTAAGAGGCCTTCCCCTCCTGGCTGGGTGTTGAGGCCAATACCCCATGTCTCTTGAGAGGGCTCAGTCGGGGATTTACACCAAGCAGTGAGTCAGTGTATCGGATGACGCTGATAAACACTTGAGAGGAAATTATGTCCGGTTTTGTCCTTACCTCAGCTTCTGAAAAACATCCAACCGTCCTGCCCCTTCAAAACGGAAGCTGTGACTCTTTGCTTTACAAGGAATTGATCTCAGAAGGAGTTGATCTCCCTTAAGCAGTGAGTGTGTGAATTCTCAGACAGTGGAGGGGAGGTGTTCTGTGTCTGGCTGAAGCAAGGCCTTGCTGGGAAGCATGAGCCAGCCCAAACAACAAAGGCTCCACCAGGGCTGTCTTGTCAGTGAGGTGATTTAACCCCTTCAAGTTGCAGAGCTGCTTGAAGGTACGTCCTGAGTGAGGATACTTGTCTGTCTAGAGCTTTTGCCATGATAAATGTAATCTTTCTTTTTGTAATTGGAAAAAGAACAAAAAAAGATTGCCCAGTGAGTTGAGAGACCTGATCTGAATGCATGTATGCCTCATTCCTTGGCTGGATCATGATGCAAGCCTTGCACAGCAGCGTGGGGCGCTAGGGCCATGTGCACTATGTTGTGCTAGATTTGGCTGTGGCTGTGTGCTGGATCTGTGCCAGTGGCTGAGGAAAAGCAATGAGCCTGCTTGCAGAGATAGTGCCAGCTCTGCAACACAGCTGGGCTGGGGGGAACTCTGTGTGCTAATCCTTCACCCCCTTGCACCTTTGCAAGGAAAACCCTCTGGGGACCCGCTTGGGAATAAGGAGCTTAAACTGGGTTTTGGCTGCTGAAATGACGTCTGCCTTCCTGACCATGTCCTGTCTTGAACTGGTGGCAGGGGGCCAAAGTCCTACAGGCAGCTGCCTCTGTGGGATCTCAGCAGGAGCTGTGTTTGCAGCGCTGTGGCCCAAGTTAGGCGTGACAGGCATCTCGTGCAGTGACGATGCTATAACAGCAGCCTGCCATTTCAGGGATCTCTGTGGTGCTGAGCTCTCTGACAAGCATTTGCCAGGGCTTGGTATCTTACTAGCAGTATCAGAGAAACCACAGGTGTGTCTCCAAAGCACAGATTGTTTTCTGTTGCCAGGTATCTCTCTCTGCTGGTGTCCTTGCTCTTCTCTAGGGCCATGCTGCCACGTTGCCAGGTGATATGGAGGAGGGAAGCAAACTCAGGCTTCCACCTTCTGTGTTTTTTCCATGGTGGAGCACTTCCACAGCTCCTGCCCAGTGTGGTTGTTCACCAGCTGGCTGTGGGTCGGCACCCGTAGCCCCAGTGGGTGGGTATGGGCTTGGTCTGCGACATCGAGGAGTTGTGTAACACACTTGTGGCACTGGATTATCTTGTTCTTCTCTCTGTACCAAGGCTCATAAAATTCAGGCACTTCCCAGTCACTGGGATTTCAGGCCTCAGCAGTGGTACCTGATCTTCATGAAAGGGTTTGATCTGTTGTATATTCAGTAAAAACATTTCCAGAGCTGCTCCTAAGGCAGAGACCATGTATGTTCCTGTGTCTATACAGCATCTAGGACCTCTGTGCTAAATGGCCTGAAATAAAGTGTCTCCTAAAGCCATGTGGAAACACAGTGCTATCCCCATGGCGCCTTTTAATAAACCATGACATGGTGATAACAGGTGTTTGTTCATCTGGGCTCCCATAGGCTGGGAGATCATCCTTGTACCTGTTTCATGGTATGTTATTGACCAGAAAAGTTCCTTCCCACTCTCCTAGCCATCAGTGGAGGCAGAATTGCAAATTTGTATCTCTGCTGTCCAAGGGAAAACACAAAATTAATGGGCTGGTAAATTCACCAGATTAAATGGGTGGAAAGTACTTGAAGAGTGAGATCCTTTAACATGCTCTCTCAAGGGAATGGAGGCAAAAGCACAGGGCTTTGAGAGTGTTTGTATGGCTTTGAGTACAGCAGTAGCTTCTTTATGCTTTGTTGGTTTAACTGTATGGTTAATAGCATGTTTGTCCTTTTCTGCTATTTTGGCAGGATAGAGGTACTTGCAGACCCCAAGCCACTATTTTGCCAAGTCAGCAGTCCCACGTAAGTAGGTGTTCAAACAGCACTTGCTCAAGGGCTGGGGACTGACGGGACTCAGCTGGAGCAGACCCTTGGCCACTCCTTTCCCTTCTGTCCCTAGAAAAGCAGACTGAGATGTTCCATACTTGAAGGGCTCCCTTCAATTTGCTCTCTCAAAATCTCAACCTGGGCTTGACCCAAGCCTTGCCTTTGTTGCCCCATCTGGTCTGAGCTGTCCAGCTGAGATGTTGTGGGGTGGGATGGTGTATGGTGCAAGGCGACTGGACCGTGGGAGCCAGGCTGCTCTGTCCTGGAGGCTACAGCCCAGCTTTAGGAACGGAGTTGCTGTCTGTGTGATGTGATCAAACTACAGCTTGACAAGCCAGGGCAACAATTTCTTGATAACATCTTTTCTCATTATCTGTATGGGTCTCGAAAAAGACTCCACAAACCCATTGCCCTACTGTTCCCTGTCCCAACTACCCCGGTACCCTCTCCTACCGTGGCCTCTCAGTGAGGGATGAGCAACTCCCAGTTTGCCCTGGGCACAGGAGAGTAACCACTAACCTGCTGTAAAACCTCACCCACTTTCCATGGCACACCCTGACTGTAAAGTTGTTACTATTTTCACTCTCATACCTGTGGTATAGTTAGGTGGTAATGGTGAGGCAAAAGAAATGCAATGATGAAACTCCTCCAGGGGTTTCAGAGATGTAATGCAGTGACCCTCTGTGTGCATCCACTGGTAACTAAAACCTATCACTTTAAGACTCTTTTCCTTTTAGTTGACAACAACGAGCAGGAGAGTGTTGGGAAATTCAGAGCCACAGAAGGAGAATGCTCAGGGGGTGCTAGTGGCACTTTGCAGGTGTGGGGAGCCATAGGGTGTGTTTGTGTGTGTGTGTTCCATCCTGGGCAGGGAAGGATAGCCTCAGCAAACACATTTCACACTAGTACCTGTTACTAAAATTTGACAACCTTGCTGTTCATGCTAGGCTTGTATGGGGAAACCAAGAGACGATATGGACCCTCTCACCTGGTGCTATGACAGCTCGGCCATCTGCAAGAACCTTGTATCTGTGCAAGCCCAAGAAAGATTTTACCAAGTATGGGCGCAGGTCAGTGACGTGGTAGCACATCCTGGGGAAGGAGGCAGCTCAGAGCATATTCTCTAGGGGGCTATACTGGCTCCCAGGGAAAGGGGAGATGCCATCTCCTCTCCTGAAGAGGCTGCCCCGCAGATAGCTCCATGGCACCAAACTCACCAGCTGTTTTGTGCTTGGAACAGGGGCTGTCTGGAGCAGAGAAGAAAGTGCTATGGGAGCATAGTCACCCTAAGTACTTGACTTCCAAAATGGGGAGGAACTGTGGAGTGATAAATTGTGGTGCCCTTTTATCTCCTCACACCCAGTTCCCAGCTGTGAGGACTTCTGCAACACATAGTTGCTGGTCTGATTAGAGCTCTGGGTTCCCATCAGCTGCCCTAGGAGCTTGTCTTGATCTCAGTCTCCAAGCACAAAGGGAGCATGTTGCTCTGCTGTAACAAAAATACCCATCCAGCAGCTGTGCTTTGGTTTGAAGTAGACATCATGTACATGCATACATTTCTTGATGGAATGTGTGTTGCACCTGTGAGTAGAGAGGAACTGTCCCTAGCGTGTTGCGTGTCCCACTGGCGCTGATACAGCCCAGCCAGGCACCTGGACACAGTTAATGAAACCCTGCATCCTCTTGGAGTCTGACCTAAGTCTTTAAGGTAAAGTTAGGAACAGAGAAATCTTGCAGTGTTCTGCTGCTGGAAGGAATCCAGGTCTCTTGCCTTGAGTTAAACCTCTGCTGTCACTGCATGGTGTAAAACCTAGATCATGTTTTGGAATTGGAATGAAAATTGATATAAAAAGCATAAATGACAGTGGTGCTGCATTACTTGAAGCAAGTAATTTCTAGCTCTGTTGGAGGAGATGAAGCTCTTTTGGAGTCAAAATGGTGGTTGCTAGTCTGTGAGAAGTCCTGGGAATGAGAATGGAGATGAAACTGTGTTGCACTCCTGGCTTTCCTCGACCTGGAGGAATGTCAAGACATGCATGTCTGTAGTTTTCTCTCCTCTGCCACTATCACCAGTTATGGGCTCTCGTCCTCCTGAGAGCTACTGTCTCGTAGCTCTGTTGGAGGAGATGAAGCTCACCAGTTATGGGCTCTCGTCCTCCTGAGAGCTACTGTCTCTTGCTAAATGTGTCCATACAACAGCACTTCCTGCCTTTCTTCTTGCCTCTTCTTCCTTCTTCCCTGGTGATGACAGGCATATTCCAACAGTTATGCTTGTTTGAAAGCTGGATGAGCAAGGCACTAGGGGAGACACCAAGATGAAAGGAGCTACAAGGGCACAAGGTGCTATCAAGCCATTGTAACAAAGAGGTTTCAAAATGGCAGAGCTGACCAACATAAATGCTGCCAGATGTTGTGGGGCAGCTTCTTTAAATGGTTCAGGAGAAGCCTAGACTTTGAAAGCAGTGCACTGAGAGTGCTTAAAAGAGGACTCTTCAAATGCCAACAGCATTTAAAGTGAGGAAATCTCAGGTGTAAATGCCTATTTGTTCATGGCTTTTCCATGTGCACCAGTGCCAAATTTTGTACATGTGGGCATGGATGTTTAACCAGACTTAGGTTACCATCTGGAAGGATCATGTTCTCTGTTGCCTTTTGCTAGCTCTTCTGTGCTGCTCCTCAAAATCTTTCTTTCTGTACAGTTGCAGACCAGTAATCGGTGGGAATCCCCTGCTAGTGAAGTATGGCTACCCTTCTGAACGGCTGCTGAGGTTATCTGAACCTAAAAAATACCTTCCTGCTTACCTGGCGCAAAGGTGAGAGGCTGGAAAGCCTACAGGGTGTTATAGGTAGAGCTTTGGGTCTTGTAGCATCAGTGGTGTCTAATAAATGCAGGAACAGAGGATGGGTAAACAGAGGGCAAAAATGCAGAGCAGGGTCTCTGCTGGGATTAGAACTTCTGGATTCTCTCATGGGATGAGTTCTACACTGGAAATGGCCACAAGACAAAGCTGCCTTCTACTGCAGCAATTGTGAGGCTTAGACAACCCAGCTGCTGCCAGATTGGAGAACACCCTTGAGTGGCAGTGCCATGACTCTGTGCTTCCAGATCCCGTGAGTCCCCGGAGTGGCCTGTGTCCCTGGCTGCGCAGAACTATAATGCCTCCAAGCGGATACTGCAGCTTGCCCAGCCAAAGGGGCTGCACCCAGACTTCATGCCGCCCAGAGAGGTGAGGAGGAGGTTGAGTGAGATTTGGAGGGCACAGGGATGCAGCAGACTGTCCTGAGTTTCTAGACCCTGTATCCCACCCCTGGATGTGCCCAGTGTCTGGAGGAGAGAAGCTGCCTGGTTCTGCTGCAGTTTATGGCACTGGAAGAAACTCCTTTTCTGAGAAGAATGTTGTCTTTGCAAATCTCCTGCTGAGAGACAAAAAACAGCCAGGTTGGAGCGGCCTAGTATAGCAGGAGAGCCAAGGGAGGCATCTGGGCTGCATCCTCTGATAAAGCAGCCTGGCAAAGTGGAGAAACCTGATGGAAATGGCATGTTTAGCTCTTAGGGAGTAGTCATGTTTCTAGTTGGGCAGCTGTGCTCCTATCGGAGTACACAGGGGGCATGAGATTGCAACTACTATGTGTATTTTAACTACATTTTGCCAGAAGCCTAATTTATATTTCTGAACTTGTTCCTTTTAGGTGGGTCATTGCTTTGGCAGGGGTGAAAGGGCTTGGAGCAATCTCAGATTACACTCATTTCCATGGCAAAGGCTAGTTTTTCTGGATGCAGCCTCTGGGGCTGGGAAAAGGGAGGCTGGCCTGGAGAAGGACAGTAACCTGTGAAAAATTTTGGAAGAAGTTCCCCGCTGGAGAAGTAACCACATTTTCTGTAGGAATGCAGTTAACTGTAGCAGCAAATTTACCCTGAAATCTGAATGTCTCTCCTTAGCAGGGAAGTTATTTGATTCGGCCAGGAAGATGAATATGAAAAACATGGAAGGAATTTCTCTGTACTTTTACCTGGCTACACAGGCTCTCATTACAGGCACGCCCCTCCTGGCTCTGAGTGGGCAACAGCTGGGGAATCTGTATAGCACCAAAATGACTTAATAGTTCAGGTGGAAAAAAAAAAAGGATTCTGGAAAATTAAGAGTGACCATGCATGCAGAGGAAGGGTGCTGGGATGCTCATCCTTGTGGAGAGGGAGCATGTCCCTGTGGGCTGCTGTACAAGCTCTTTGTCTGCACATCCCTCCCCCATTCTGGATCCATGCAGGTGCCAACAGAGGTTTCCAGCTTAGCAGTCTCGGCCAAAGCATCGGCGCGGGTCCAGAAACTCGCAGAGCCCTTGATCAGGGAGATGACCTGCTGCCCCACGCACACCAAACCTGGTGTTGTCACGTCTACGGTAAGGCAACGTCACCTGGGATCCTACACGGATGGAACTTCTGGCACGGGAGAGGGCACAGGTGCTCAGTTGCTTGTGGCTCTCTTCATGTCAGCCAGGATGTGCTGCTCTCCATGAGGGTGGCATAGCTGCTTCCTGAGCTGGAAAGCAGGACTTGTGCTCCATTCAGAGCATGAATTGACTCCCAGCACGTATCCCCGAAGAACAGCAGAGCTGTGCCTAACCTGCACTTGTAGGGGCGGAGAGAGATGGCCAAGTGCCTGACTGGGATCTCCAGTGCTGTGGGTTCACAGACAAAGGGCTGTGAGTAATAGGAGGCTGGAGGGCAGGTTGTGGGGCTAACGAGGCAGTGATTTCTTCTACAGTTTGCCTGGTGCCAAACACAGCTGAGGATATGATTGTGTCCCATCTGTGTGTGGTCAGTGCCTGTGAACCTGGTAACACTGAGTTGGTTGCAGGCTGAGCACCCTTGAATGCCAGGAGCATCTCTAAAGACCTTCCTCCCCATTCTTCCTTCCACAGGTTTCATCTCGGAAGGTAGTTGCAAGCCCTCGGACCATTGAGCTGTCGAAGCCCAAACAACTCCACCCTAAGTTCCTGCCTGCACGGGATCCTGAGTGGCCTGTGACAAAGGCTGCCAAGCGTGCAGTGGCTACAGAAAGAATTGTGGGGCTGGCCCAGCCTTCCGCAAGGTAGGTACTGCTTCCCTGTCACGGGGAAACGGTCAGCTGCCAGCCCATTTTGTGTGGCTCATGGCACCTTGGTCATTTGTGTTTGGCCAGAGAGATCAGGCCAAGATTAGGAAGTGCTCTTCCACTTCCAAAATGCCTCGGTTTTATATGTTTGGATGAGTTAATGCTACATGGATTGCGATTTAAAAAGCCATTTTGAGGTAGAAGGAGAGTCAAAAGAGAAGAAACAGGAACTCTTTAATTCCAGCAGAATTACTGGTTGGGACTTGTTATTAATTCCAACTATAAAAAGCAACTAACTGGCAAAGGGCAGAGTGTAATACACTCGTGTTGCCCAGCATGTTGCAGCTGACCTCAGCCCAATCTGCAGGAAGTGCTGGGGGAGAATGTTTCACAGAGGATGAGGGAATGCCTGGCTGTGGTGGCTGTGAGAGATGTTCCTCCCTTGATGACAGCATTGGAGGTGTGATGCCTTTTGTCCTCCCTTGACAGGGAAGGGCAGGCTTAGGTGGAGGTGTGGGAGCTCGCAGGCAGCTGACAGCTGTCCTTGCTCCACTCAGGATTGACTATCCCTGTTTCTCTCCTCCAGACCTCGTATGGGCTTGACTGCACTCAACCCAGACGCATTCAGAGTGAAAGAGAGTGCTCTGAAGGCAGTTTGTTCTCCACGGCTTGAAAAACTAGCTCAACCAATTCAGCGCTAAGCTCCTTCAGAAACGCTCCTGCCGTCTGCCCACATCACCCCTTGGAACGTCACTCTCTCTGGGCTGTGCTGTGGCTGGAACATCTCTTTGAACACAGCGCAGAGGCAGCACTCAGCAGGAACGCTTTCTGGGAGTTAAAATAAAATCATCATTCCTTAAGAATAGTCATCAGGGAAAATTACAGAATTCAACTTAATGTGGGAAGACTTTCTTCCTAGGATAGGTTATGTGTGGAGTTTCTGTCTTGATTGTTTTGCTGTAATAGTTTAAGAAGTAATGAAACAGCTGCTGGGGGAAGGCAGCACAGGAACTGTCCTTTCATGCAGGGAAGTGTGGCAAACTAAACTCAAAAGCATGCAGTAAGTTGATGCAATGCAACTCCTCAATTTGGGTTTAAATTTTTTTGCTAAAGTTTTAGCAAAACTTTAGTTTAGCAAAACTTTTGACTGTCAGTAAGAATATCTTCTTACTGAGACTTAAAAGTTCTATGCTTGTGACAGAAGTAGAAATACAAAAGGCTACAATGTATGTTGAGTCGGCTTGGATTTGGGGCCTGTTTTCTCAAATGCCTGGAGAACAGGCAGATCCAGTTACATAGGTGGGTTTAAGCTGTGTGGTTCAGATACTCAATTGTGTGACCCTGGGCAAAATAAGAGAGTTCTATGTTGGGATTTTTGGAGCCTAACTCAAAAAAGCAGAGTTCCCCTCAGTGTAAGAGAGAAGGAAAGTTGCAAAGGCTAAGCAGAAAACAAGTGTTGATGCCAGAGTCTGCAGACCAAATTCTGAACTCCAGTCAGGTCTGTGGGTGAGTCAGTTTGGCATCTGGATTGCAGAGGAACAACACAGTTGTTCCCCCCCTGTGCAGGGCATGACATAAAGGGAGAATGCTTTTATCTGCGTCCTACAGGGTCAGTGTGTTTTGCACTGGCTGCCCAACCACTGGCGACAGGCTGGAGATACTGAGGCAAGAGAGATGCTCACCAGTAAGGGACAAAAGCCACAAATGAAAGGCAGTGTGTTTTACACTGGCTGCCCAACCGCTGGAGATAGTGAGGCAAGAGAGATGCTCACCAGTAAGGGACAAAAGCCACAAATGAAAGCATATGGCAGTTTCAGAGCCAATGTATTTTAATCTTCCCTTTGTTAAGCTGATTCTCCTTCCAAAGGAGTAGAGGCAGGTGACCACAAGCCAGAAGGGGATTAATCAGAGGATCCATTAATTGATTCAGTAATCCACTAAGCAGAGGAGTTTTGAACAAGGTAAGGTCGCTGGGAAATTGTGCTGGTTATTTTTAGACCAGGAATTGTCCTGTGCCAGGATGGATGACAGTTTGGACTTCGTGCAAGAGTCCCACTGCAACTGCATTCCTCAGGCTTGAGAATGGCCAGGAGGAGACTGGGGTCTCCCCCTAAAGCCCCCATACTGTGGGGGAACCCCAGCACCACCAGCCTCTGCCACCTTGGAGATTAGGAGGTGTGTGAAGTTGTGTGGGCTGCCATGCATGGACCCACAGGTGCCCTAGGAGATGAGGCTGCCCATGGCTGTCCCTGTGGAAAAGGGAAAACCCACTGTGCCCACTGAGGCTGCCTGGGAGAAATGTCCATCCAGAGGAAGGAGTCTGCCTCCTGTCATGGGGGCAGGGAGCACAAGCAGGGACATAGCACAGCTCCTGTCATCAAAAAATGTTGGGTTTTTATTACTGCACTGAGAAAAAAACCCAGAACAACCCATGAGTTCTTTCTCTTTGCTGACCTATAACAGAAAGGTAAAAAAGGCCTTCAGGGGGTGCTTGACTTGGTTTGATCATGGTGTAGGCACTTGGTTTGCAGTATCCAGAGGTGATTCAGGCATGTTGAGCCAAACCAGATCACCTGGAGAACACACCTGGTTTTCCAGATGCCCTGCATCTTAAAGCTCACACACATACTTTGCCCCTGGGGATTGTAAGGAAAAGGAATCTTTATTTCTTCCTTCTATATTTGAACATATATCATGGCAAAATTTCTGCAAGCCTGGGACGAGGGCATGAAATTGCCTTTTCTTGTGCAGCTGTTGTTAATGGGTTGGAATCACAAGATAGGTTATCAGCCATCAAAAGTTGTATACACACACGTTGTATACATATATAGCTCTATATATATATAGTGGGGTTTTTTCTGGTTATGTACATGTTAAATAAGATTTATGTTAAATAGCAGAGTATTACTTTGTATCGCAAAACCTATTGCAACGGAAGAACCCCAAGGAAACCCACTCTGAAGAGCTTCACCATCCTTTGTAAGAGGCAAGGGGATTGGAGCAGCATCCTCTAGTCCCTGACAGACCCGCTTTCTGAGGGCAGCCCTTCAGACTTCCTCCACTCCGCCAGGCGCTGCTTGAACCATTTCTGGAGAGAAAGAACAAAGCAGAGACTGAGTGCACTGGGCTGAGCGAAGCCTCCAAATAACTTTTCTAAAGTGCAGATGTCAGCACGTGGGATGAGGTGAGGGGAACTCACGGTGCTGCTGCCTCGTAGCAAGGTGCTGTTCCCAGGCAGTACAGGCAGCCAGGATGGTTGCTCCTGACCAAACGGTCTTGTAACCTACGTGTGCACTTCTTTCAAACTCATTTCTCTAGCTCACTTCAGACCTTGACAGCATGAGTGAATCTTTTTTTTGTATTGCTGTAAGCCCAGGTTTTTCTTGCAGAGTAAGAGATTGGCTAAGGAGCTGGATGGTGTCTGTTTAAATGACTGGAGAAGTGAAAAATCATTTGCAAGTTCAAAACTGTCAAGAATTGAAAGCTCACCTGTTTCAGAGAGCATGAGAAGTACAGCACATTGGCTCTCCAACAAATTTAAGAACAAATCTATTTTTAAAATTGTTTAAAGGCAATATACACATCTATGTTAGCAGCACTTAGCACTATATCTGTTGTAACTTAGCATCTGGAAGCCTATTCCAGGAGCTGCTGATGCCACTTCAAGGCAGCCACAATTTTAAATATTAGATAAAATTTATTTGGTTAAAGCTACACTACCTAAGAAGAAAAGAAAGAAAAGTAATACTACTCATGTGCCGGAAGCACAGCTCAGCCTTTTGTTTGGCAGTGTGCCTGTGATTCCTTTTGTTGCAGTTCATTTTGTTGCTATATTTGTTCATGGTTATTTTTGAAGCTATTATAGTCCATAATGATACAACCACAGTGCTCTCTGTAAGTGCCTCTCATACTCACACTGCCTTTGACCACATCCAGTCATATGATTGACAGCCTACCCTCCTCTCAAAAGTTTCACTTTCTGTCCTAAACCATAATCTCCTCTTTGCATCTCATTGTTACTGAATTTTTTATTAAAATGGCTGCTATTTCTAGATGATAAAGCACTCCAGATGTCAGGGGCAATGATTCCCTGTGTTCTACGCAATGCAGGCATTTTGCAGCTCACCACCCCAGTCTTGATCCTGTCCCTAACGTGACCTCCATCTCTAGGAGCACACTAGATTAGTGGAAAAAGATAGCTATCAGGGAGGATTTAAAGACAACTACAGAGGTGCCCTGGGCGTATATGGCCTGTGTTTACAAGTTGCTGTAGGGGAGAAAAAAAAGCAACAGTGCCATTTCTACAGACCAAAAGGTATTTTAGGGGTACTGCCTCCTTGCTGCCTCAAAGAAGCTGTGACTGATACCTGTCTGTCACCAAAGCACAGTCCACTCCAGCCGAGGACTATCAGTGCAATGGATGCTGTTCCAGCATCTTTCCCTGGGACAGGCTAAATGCTGACATTGCCAGCTCGGCTTTTATACCCCTTTGGCTTTGCTGAGGGAGAGCCAGGCTTGGCAGCTCTCTGCAAACTGCTGCTAACTTCCCAGTGGGATGGATTTCTTTTCTACACCCATAAATGTTGCTGTGGGTCTAGTAAAAACCTACATCACAATGAACTGCACTGCCACCTGAAGGAACTGGGAAGAAGCCGTTTGCTTCTGAAGCTCACAGTAGCCTGCAGGTAGCCAGTTGGAACACAGGGCCTGGTGGAATTCCCAGACAGTGGCAGCCTGTCCCTGTGGAGGGGTATTTGGAGGCCTCTATGTCTCCTGGAGAGGCTGACAGACTTGCCTGACATCGGGGCTTAGGGATGCTGAGGGGGAGGGTGCACAGCCTGAGCATGTCTCACATGCAGGAATTGCATCTATTCTCTATCTGTTTTAAAATGATAGTAGTTTCTTCAGACCTTAAAACCAGCAGTAGTTTTGGCATCCAAGACTGTCAGAAATGGTTTGGAAGAACGGCATGCATGGGTTGTAAATTCAGGAGCAGAAACACGTGGAGTGCAGGAAGGATGTGGGGTACAGGGAGGTGCTGTGTTGCATTAGAGCTCTGTGGGTGCAGTTAGGGGTGTGCTGGGGATTGCAGATGTGCAGAGGACACCTGTGGGTGCAGTGAGGAGAGTGCAGGGTGCATGGTGGTGCAAGGAGCACATGGGACACAGAGGAATGCAGGTGGTGTGGGGGGAGCCTGAGAAGGGCAGGGGCTGCTGTAGGAAGCCGCAGGGGGACAGACGGGTGCAGGTGTATGATAGACCAGGACAGGAGATGTGGGACACAGAGGCATGCAGGGGGAGCAGGGCTGTGCCAGGGGCAGGATGAGGGGCACACACTCACCAGAGTCTGCTCCTCGGAGAGCCCGGTCTCAGCAGCGATGAGGCACAGTGTGGTGGAGTCAGGATGCTTATTCACCTTGCAGAAGTGGTGTTCCAGGATCTCCAGCTGCTCCTCAGTGGGAATCACTGGCTTTTCCATGGCCATCTCCTCCTAGGGCAGGGCTATGGGGCCAGGCACTGCGGAGAGGGGCTGGTGTCATTGCTCAAGCTGGGAGTGGCCAGTGGGGCCGCACTTGCTGAGCCCCAGATTTGCCATCCGTGTCCCGACCAACCGCCCCCCCGGCCCCAGCTGTGGCCTCTGGCTGCAGCAGGGCTCAGCGCCCTTCCCAAAGGCATGCCAGGGAGCTCAGCTGGGAGCACCAGCCCCCCAGCAAGTCCTGTCTCATTTCCTCACTGCAGCGACCACACGGCAGCAATGCCCAGCGCTGAGCTGCCTCACCATCCTCAGCTGGCAGGAAGCTGCAGGCTGCTCAGCACTCCCCTGGTGCTGTATTTATAGCCAGTGTGACTCCCATGGGAACGATTCCTGTTTACAGCCCTATTTAGGCCTGGGCGTCACTTAGGAGTGATGTCACAGCAACGGGCATGTGCAGGGGGTTAATTTAAAGGCATTAGTTTAAAAACATTATTAATCCTCTGGGTGAAGGGACAATATCTGACATCTAACCTAGTGGGTTGTTGGTTATTTTTTTCCCCCTGCTTCCCAGTTATCAGGCAAGTTTGTGCAAAGGAATGATAGAACAGAGCATACAAGATCTTCTGGGAGCATGGTCTTTGATCCAGAAACCACCTTGTTTCCACTCCTCAGGATCAGTGTCCTGGTCCTTCTCTTAGCAGTGTGGCTAGACATCACATAATGCTGGCCATGAGAAGGTGAGCTGCAATGTTTTAAGTAATATTTAATGTTACCACACGTGGGCATAAACAGTTAGTCCTATTGTTCCTGAGCATCACTGAACTGGTTAGTTGATTGACTGGGTTTTTGTGTGTAAGTGTTCAAATCCTCAAGGACTGTACCCAGTGTATGTCTGTTGCTCAAGCACTTGCTGCCTCTGACTGTGGTCAGTCCTTGGTGCTCCCAACAAAGGCATCACCGAGAAGCCCACATTTTCCTCCAGAGTAACACTTGTCCCACTTGTGCTTTGCATAGTCTCTGGAAGATTTGGCCCAAAAGAGCAAGCAAAACAAGTGCATCTTGACTAAATCTCTCTTCTGCTGGGCTCCAGGTTTGCTTTCACATGGCAGAGGGTGGAGCTTGCTAATTTAGTCAACTAAAACACAAGGCACTGCTCCCATGCAGAATGCACAAGTCTCTTGATGCTGAATCACTGTGGTGTTTTTGAAACCAGGCTGTGGGGTATTGGTAGGGGAGGAGCAGGTTGCAAAATGTGGCCTTTCTTGATCTGCTCTCCTGCTGTCCCAGTTGCCTGGCCCGTCTCTGTTGGCTGGTTGGTGTTGCTGGTTGGTGTTGCTGGTTAGTGTTGCTGGTTGGTGTTGCTGGTTGGTGTTGCTGGTTCCCCAGTGCTGCCAGGAGACCTTGTCCCTTCATGTGACTCCTGTGGGCCATCTTCTGCCCTGCCCCCCAAACTGCAGTCCAGCAGTCCAGCTTTTCCTTCCCTTTGGCTCTGGGGTGTAATCGTGTGACTCCTGTGGGCCATCTTCTGCAGACCTGCCCTGCCCCCCAAACTGCAGTCCAGCTTTTCCTTCCCTTTGGCTCTGGGGTGTAATCCTGGAACATCCATCATGCTGCACTCCTACTGCATAGGTTTAAACCCAACTGCTTTCTTGGTTGAGTGGTAACTCACCTTTAGGTACCCTGGGGTACTGAATGCCCCAGGGCTTTCACTTGCTTACAGAACTGCTAGGATGGAGCTCAGCTTCAAAACTGTCTTGCAGCTTGTGAAGAGCCAGGCATAGTGAGAGGCTGGAGAGATCCTCTTCTTTGAACTTTACCTCATAAAGCAAAGATCCCCCTGAGCCTCCTCTACAGAAAGTGCTTTGAGCAATAAAAGAATCCTTTGGCATTTGAGTAGGGGCTTATAAATAGACCAGGGCTGGTTGTGAAACAGCCCACTCTGCTTGAGTCACTTGGTAAATACCGATTGTAACACAGTGGTTGTGTAACATTGGAGCACCTCTGAGCATGATGGAGTGCTGGTCAACAGCACAGTATCACCCACCAGCCCTGGGTGGACTGAGGAAAGACCATCTCTAACCCCAGGTACTGCAAGCCAAACTGGCCTTGTCTGCACTGTGTTGCAGCTGCCTGGGTTTCCTGGGGTCAGCTCAGTTCAGAAGCATCCATATAGGAAAGGGGCATCATAATTCAGTTCCTCATTAATGTGAGGTAGTAGGAGTCTCCTGAATGCTGCTCACCTACCTCAGATGTTTGTAGACCTCTGGAAAAGATGCAGAAGTAGAAGGAGGTCCCCTGGACTTGAGGTGCTGCTCTCCAGCACTGTGGCTGCCAAGCTCTCCATGAGGTCAAAATGCAGATGAGGCCAAGCTCAGGCCACAAGTCCTACCTCTCTTTTCTTTTAGCATACGACTGAGGCACCTGCCCTTCTCATAGAAAGCCCAGCCACAAAGGGATCCTCATCATCTCCAGATCATGCACCTAGCCCAGGCCACCAGCAGCAACATGCCTTGGCAGCTCATAAATCACTGTTTGCAGCCTGCTGCATTAATGTGCATTGATGTGTGTGCCTGGATTTGCATAGGGAGCACATGCTTCACCTTTCATGTTTCACCTGCACAGCTATTTCTGCTTCTGATTATCTCCGGGTTCCTGAGGCGTTTCCCCATAGGACACAGTATCTTCTACCTGTTGGCAGCTCAGGGTGCCCCAGCATGTGGGATGTGATGCCTGATGGCTTTTCTTTGTGTCCCCTCTACCCCTGCTCTGGAAGGAGAACACTTTTTACCTCTCAAGCTTGTGAGATGGGTTTCAGGAGGGCTTTGCAGGTCTCCCCACATCACTCCACTATGTCCTGGAGGCTTTCAGGAGCCATGTGACCCCTGTGCAGCATATGGCCTCTAGCACTTGGCACCTCCTGCATGCTAAATTTGGGGGTATATGACATGGCACCAGGAGTGCCTAAATGGCCAGACTGGCCCTATTGAGACCACTAATCACCTGCCCACTACTTAAATGGAGCCTGGTTTAAGCCCAGGCAGTCAGCTCTGCTTCAGGCTGTCCAACATCTCTCCCTGTACAGGAAAGGTGATTGTCTCACATTTCTTTAAGCCTGGCAGAAATATGGAGACTCACAGCAGTTTGGCTTAGCTGCTGAAAAGCACCACTTCTTACTGCTTTTTTACTCCTAAATTTTTGACAACATTGAAAAAAAACCCCAAAAAAACAAGGCATTTTCAGTGCAAGGAATGTTAGCCATTCAGAAGGGCTGTGGGGCTACAGCTGTCATTCAGCTGGGGTTTACTCACCCAGGCAGAAATGACAATGCCAGATGCACTGTCACAGGGAAACCACCACACCTGCTCTGTCCTAAGTGTCAAGCTAAAGACCCCTGGGGAATTCACACTTGGCTCTGACTGTCATGGTTTTAGGTAGAGCGATGTGAGAGCAGAGGCTTGCAAGTGGATCAACAGCTGCCTGGGCCATGGGCAGCTCCAGCCAGCATTGCTATGTACATGACAGCACCTGGTGCTCTTAGTGTGGCTGATAGGGCATTAAAATGCACCTCCTGGAATGAGCAGACAAAAGATAATGGCTGATGGACACAAGTTGCAGCAAGAGAAAGTCTTATTATAAATATATAGTACTCTGCCCATGTCCTGTGGTTGCACCCAGCTCCACAGAAACACCCTGGGGTTACTAGCAGAACTCCTAGCTCTAGCCTGAAATGGGAGAGGACATCTTTCTGTCTCCCAGCATGCTTGTCCAGCACTGCCAGTGCAGTCAGCATTTACTATCCTGGCAGAAGTCTGCCACTTTTCCAGAAAAGACGTGATCTCTGTTTGCTCAGCTTTGCTTTTTTGAACAATAGTCACAATAGCTGGCTGGCTGTGCAGCTTTCTAATGATTTACTGCACCCAGAGCCCCTAGAAATCTCTCTGAGCAGTAGCTCCTGCCAAGCTGATGGGGCTCCATAGCCTCTGCTGGGCTTCTTGACCCCTTTCCCAGAGCTCCAATTGTCAGGGCTGGGATGTGACCGGAGGCATCTGCATCTGGTTTTAGCTTGCAGCTATTTCCTGCCACTGCAGGGATCAAAATAGCAGTTCTCAATGCAAACGAGCCCTCTTACCCTCCCTTGCTCTGCTGCAGAGCCGTGTCCTGTCCTGAGCTTTGCTCATCCTCCTGCTGTGGGGTGGCTGTGGATAACATCAGCCAGCATGGGCACACAGGATAAGGTGGGACAGAGGCTTTAAAAATAAACCGGGCCCTGCCATAAATAAGGAAAAAACACCTGTCATGCATCCTGTAAACTACCCGTCCAGTCTTTTAGAAGATAACATCGGATGGGAACAAAGCAAACAGGAGCGCAGCAGCTGCCGCAGCAGAGGCAGGGCCCCGCGGTGGCCCCTGCCTGGGGTCTCTCCCGCCTGGGTGCCCTCCTGCCTGCCCCGGGCATGAGCCTTCCTGCCCTGCTGCGTGCAGCTCCGACCTCCTCAGCATCAGCACTCACAGGGGAGCTCCTCCCTCCATCTCCCCCATCCCCAACTGCAAACCCACCCCAGCACCCCCAGCTCAAAGCCTGGGCTTACCTGGAGCTGGCAGGGACCAGAAGCGTGTAAAACAAGAACCCCGCAGGTCCTTGGGTGACTGCTTAAGTATCTGCGTGTGTGTTTGACAGGCGGGGACCTGAAAAACCTGCCGCAAATCACAGGAGCTCGCGGGATCCACAGCCGCTCTCAGGGCTGGTAATTCAGGTTTGGCACCCGCTCCCTTTGGCAGGGCTCCCTCCGCGCGGGGCTGCGCGCTCCGCGGGCTCTCGGTGGCCCGCCAGCCCCGTCCCGCCGCGCTCGGGCCCCAGGACGCGGTCCCGGCCGGGGCTGCTTCCTGCGGGGCGCAGGAAAGGTGCAGGCGGGGTGCGGCGGAAACTGCGCTCCGCACGGCGGGGCTGCAGCCGAGCCCGCCCGTCCCTCCGGGCTCATCCCGCTGCGCCCTGCAGGGAGCCCCGCTCCCGCCTTGGCCCGCGGAGCCGGCAGCGCTGTGCGCAGCTGGATTCCCATCTCACTTTAGTGCCTTGCGTCCAGGTTTAATATTCCTGAGTCTGCTGTCACTTCAGTCAGCCCTGTGATCCCGCCAGGCCGGGTGTAAGGGCACGACTGGGTCCTGCAGCTGTCCTGCTGCTGCAGCCCTCAGAGGCACAGCCTGCCTGGGGATGGGGAGGAGAGCAGGGCGTCCTCCTCTGCCAAAGCCTCGACTGAAGTGCCCAAGAACCTGCAGTTCTCAGTGTGGTGGTCTGGAAGCATTAGACAGCAGCTTAAAAAGAGGCATCTCTTGGGGTGGAGTGCAGTGGGGAGGGGCTGATTTTTCTCTCAGTTTATAGACAGCTGGAAGGGGATTCTGGAAAGGGATGCTGGAAAATCAGAGAGGCTGAAGAAAGAACTCATGAAAAATTGAGTATGGCTTGCAGTGGCTGAGATTATCTGCCAGAGCAAAACTCAAACTGGCACAGAATGCAAAAGCTATGGAACTGGTTGGAGCCAGAGGGAGGGAGCCCTGACCCTGGGGAGAAGTGGATGGACAAACCCAGGGAAGAAACCTGCCATATGTTTAGCAGTGAGCCAAGACCATCCTGAAGAGGTTTCGTAATGTTGGGGGAAACACGGGCCAAGGCAAGGGGATTGCAAAGAGATCTGTGCCAAAGGACAGGCAGACCTGTGCTAGTTTTCCTAGCAGGATGGCATTGATCAAGCAAGATTGGGGGACAGCTTCACTGCCTGATAAACCAAATGGTGCTGTTCAGTGTCTGCCAGAGAACTTTTTGGGAGAAGACTTGATCCTGCCTGCCTTGGGCAGGCACCTGGCCAAAGGAGTATGTCCTGTTTATCACTGGTGCTAAGCAACAGGAGCACAGCTAGCAATGGGTGCACACAAGCAGATTGGACAATGTGTCCAGGGGACGGCTCCAGGAGCCGTGGCTGGGGGCATCAGGATGCATTTAAGGAGGCTGGAGCAAACCCCTGCAGCGGGACTCAGCCTTGGATTTCAACCCCAGTGTGGGAAAGTCCAGGCAGAGGTCCCAAACTGCATACTGACACGTCCTTGGGGGAGCTCTCAGGGGTATTGCTACTTATCTGCCCCATGTCTGTGCTCTGCTCTGGCATCTGCTCTTGGCCAGCCTTGGCGACAGGACAGATGGGAAAATATTCTGGTCCAGAAAGATTTTCCTATGTTTGTATGCTGTCTTTTTTTTTCCTTCTGTACATATGCCCTGAGCGTTGCAAAATGTGAGTAACGTGGCCTGCAGGAACAGGATGGGCTCCTCTCTTCCCTTGTTTATTACTGTCAATGGAGAGAAAGCCTTTAATGTGGAAAAACCCTTTTCTCTTAGCTTGTGAGCCCAGCCCAGGCTTGCACTGGGAGCACTGGCAGTGACGTGTTTCAGGCTGAGACACCCCTTGAAATGGTTTCAGAGGTGCTGGGAGTCCTGCAGTGACAGTGTGAAAGTCATGTCACAAATCTGTGCGCATCTGGCTGGCATATGTTAATGCTTTTCTGACCTTTTCTGAAATCTGTTACGCCCCATATCTCCTCCTGGGAGAGGGTTGAAGTACTGCTGGAATTTATGTCTCACCTGATATGAAGAGATCCTGTCCCAGAGGATGGATGTCCTTTGTCAACAGAATTAGATTAAATAGAAACAAAACAAAGAGTGCATGCAGTACCATCACAGAGACTTTCTTCCTGTTGAGAAGAAGTACAGTTCTTGTGATGTACATTTGACAATTTTGCGTAATACTGTGGCATTGCAAGGAGGGGTTGGCAGCTGCAGCCTGCATTCAGCACCCCTCTGCTCTGGACCCCTCAAGCAGAGGCTTGAATATCATCCATATTGCTCCATGGCAAGATGTTGGCTAAAGTCACTTTTGGGGGGAGATGGGGTGGGCATTCGACACACAGCTGATGCCCATCCTGGCCCAGTTGTTGTCCCTTTAACACTGCATGGAGACAGAATGGAAAAAAAACCATGGAAAGGACAGGGGGGAAGCCACTTGTCAAGCCATCAGGATAGAATGGGCTATAACATAGCTTTTCTGACTTGTTCATGTTTCCTCCTTTTCCTGCATCTCCCTTGAATTTTGCCATGTTTTCTTTCCTGAAAATGAGGCTTAGCACCAGCACCACTTGTCTGGGGATTAAACAGAGATTTTCTTCCTTTTTCTGAGTATGTGAATTATAAAATACATGCTTTCCAGACTCCATCCCAACCCAAGTGTCAGAGAGAGGGCAAAAGCTTCCTTTCTCCCTCTGAATACCTCAATGCAAAGGAAAACCTCAAATGCCATCTTCTGTTTTGTTTACCAGTGGGTTTTTTTTCCTGGTGTGCTGGGGTTTTCTGGCCACTAATACAAAAAAAAATTGTGGCTGGAAACAAGGCTTTACAGAATATTTTGGCTTCCATTCAGTTAGAGAAGAGTTTTCTAACTAGCCAGTACTGACTCACAGGGCAACTCTTGCAGTTAACCAGATGAGACTTCTACCTCCATAAACCATTTGCCCATAAGAGATTGGTTGTTCTTGAGGGTGCAGCTGGCAGTTGCCTTTGTTGGACATCCCAACACACAAGAACTTGACTGAGTCATTGTTCTTTTGATCAGTTTTTTCCCTAGGAGAGCAGCAACACTGGTTGCACCCCAGGAGCCAGCAGCACACCGTGCTTACCCAGACCGTGCCCTGGGCAGGGGGGAGAGGAGGTGGGCACAGGTGGCTCCTGCTGCTGGAGCAGGGCTGCTGGCCTGGCCTCAGCAGCTGCCTCTTCTGCTCTCTCCTTCATGCATTTTCCTTTGGTTTCAGCGGGCAGGGTTCAGCCTGTCTCTCCTCAGCAGTAGAAGGGATCCAGGCCAGACAGATACTAATCAGATGTGACTTCCAATAAGATTCCTGCCTTTACTTTGTCCGTGGGATACAGTTGTGTGGATGGAAACTGCCGTGTTTTATTATTCCTCCCGCTGTTCCAGCACTTCTCAGAGAACAGCGTCATCTCATTGGTATTTCCATGTGCAATCTCTGCCTGGGGTACAGTCTTCCTCCCAACTCTCACTCTTACTAACCAGATTGTTTTGAAGTGACTAAACCGGGAGTTGATACGTGCAGTTCCTTGCCGGGATGATTTTCAGCAGCGCTGGCATAGCTTGTAGGCAGAGCGTGCTGCAGCACGCAGAGACAGCCAGCAGGGCATCATCACACGGGAGCTGCTGCCGTGCCCAGCCCAGGAAAACACTGGTGAGGGGCAGGGAGGGAGGACAGAGTAGACCTGCAGATCCACTCTCTACCCTGGGAGTGCCAGGGGTATGTGCAGGCGAGCGAGTGCCCTTGCACAGACTCGGATAGCTGTGCGTTTTCTAGGGAGCAACTCAGGGAGATGGGGGTTGGAAAGTGTCTGCTGAAATCTGTTCTGTTCTGAATCTCTAGGCTGAAGCTGCCTAGAGAGCTTTTGGAGGTCCTGACTCAAATACTTCAGTGATCAAATACTTCAAGGTCAATGAAGGGACTTTATCCCTCCCCAGAGCAGGGATGAACTCTGTCCAAACAATTGCCTGCCACCATGGCTCTCAGTTGCAGCAGGAATGCTACCCTGAAGACCAACTTCAAGGGTCTCAGCAGGGCAAGCACGGGTGCTGACCGTCCCATGACTTTACTCAGCCTTCACCATGAGGGACAGGGACCAAGTTTTCCCCTGTGCTGTGCCACGCCAGGGAGCCCACAGGTTCCCAGCCCCAGTGCCCACATCATGGCAGCAGTGCCATGCAGCTGGCAGCCTGTGGTTTCTCTTGGACCAGTTTGGGCAGGCATGTGTGGAGAGGTGGCTCTGGTGCCACCAGCTGCTGGGCATTGCCACAGCCAATGAGCAGGACGGGTCATCTCTGTGTGACACACACCACAGCCCCTGTGGCACCTGTGGTGACCTGTGACACTGGCGGACAACTATAATGACTTGCAGAGTGACAGTGAACAGGGAAGGAACGTAATGGAGACTCTGCTCCACCTGCTGGGTGTCAGGGAATGGCTTCAAGAGTCCTAAGCAATTAACTTTAAAATTTTTGTTCCCTTTGGCAACCTGGTTGCTAAAGAGGGCTCCTGGGAAGCTGGCACTGACAAAGGATGCTAGCTGCCCATAGTCTTCTCTACACAGCTGGCCACAGCTGGGGACAGCTGAGTGAGCACAATAGAAGCACTCACAGATGCCTTCCTCATTGTTCTGACAGCCTCATCACCCCAGGGAAGGGTCACCCTCAGTGGGACATCCCCTGCTCCTGGGATTGCCCCCTGCTCCAGCTCTGGGGGCTCAGGCACTCCACTGTCAGAGGCTTGTTTGTGTCTAGTGTGCCTGGCAGAGAGGCTGCATGGTGGAGGAGGGTGCCTTTGCCCTGTCTCTTGGGTATGGTGACTGGGCTGGTGGATGGGGTGCTTTTCGGGGAAGGAGTATGGGAGCAGGGTGCAGTGCTGCACAGGCAAGCAGCTGGAGACTGCTCAACCCATGGGAGAGCACAGCAGGCTCAAACAAGCACAAACAGCCTAAGAAACCTGAGCTAACAAAGCTGTACCTGCACCACTGCTTAGGAAAGTCACACTCTTGTCACAGCACGTCTTTTAGCACCTTGTCCTGCTGGAGGGAAGTGGTTTGGGGGACACCCAAGGCTGGGGGCCAGTTCCCATCAGTGGTGAGGGCAGGTTCTGGAGGCTCACTGCCAATCTGAGGCTGTTTGAAGCAGAAGGAAGGCTTCTGGCACTGGTGTGGGATTGCTCTCATGTTGCTCCAAGTGTGTCTATGTGCCTGTCTCTTGGCTGACTGGTGCTACATACAGCCAGTCTGTCTGGCTTCTCTGGGTGGGCTTTTCTCCCTTCTTCAAAGGCTGCTTCTCATCCTAAGCTTTGTCCTGTCTAGTAAGATCTT